TGACGTTTGTCCAGCACTTTGTTATACTGGTCGTCATAATTGCGTTCAATGACAGCCAGCACATTGTCGTGATGGTGTCGGGTTAACTTCTTGACAAATGAGTTGGCCCGGCTGTGTCGAGGTGTCCGCAAAGTGCCCCTTCGGTAGAAGCCTTTCCATTATAACAATAATATGTTTGTTATTTATTTTGAGATTATTTCAATTGTTTTATCTTAGAAAAAGTTTTTCAAATCTCAGTCATTGATAATGTGTGCTTGAGAATTTTAGATAAATCACAACTAGATCCAAGACACCCTTGCACCAAACCATTTTAGAGCAATATTAATGTGATATATTTATTTTTGTATTTATAAGTCGTTGAGATTGCTATCAATATTATAGATACTCTTATACAAAGTGTTTACTTAAAGAATTGTAACTATCAGGATATAAGGGTTAGGGTTAACTGGTACGCAATCATTGATTACTAATCAACCTTTCTCTTAAAATAATAAGTTTAAATCAAATGTATTGGTACAATTATTAGAATCAAAGTGCAAAATGTAATTGTTTTTTATATCATATAAATTATATGAATACAATTTTGGTTTTATATCAAATCTCAAGAAAAATAGTCAAGGTATATAGGTATATATACCTGGAGGTTAAGGTATACTCAAAGGTCTGTGTCATATGATAAGAATTGTCTAACTTTTAAACTATTATTTTATTGTTATGTTCTACACAAGTGTCAATAAATGTTTAAGTAATATGTTTATAACTAAATTAATGGTTTTATAATAAGAGTAACAGCTACTAGCAATTACTTAATAACTAATTACAACTTTGTCTTAACTAACAAAGTTTTAATTATTAGTTACAAGTTAGACAAACTGTGGAAAAGTTTGACGCGATGTGAATCACTGTAATTCATAGTAGTTATTCAAATCTTAATTATTGTCGCGATTTTGTTCACTGAAACGAAGCGTGCTTTTCATTATAATCATCGGAATTATGTCTATTATAGCATAATTATACCTAAATTGCATTTTTATTGTATTTTAAGCAATAAATTGCATTCAAGAATCAGTTCATTTTAATACTCTATCTGTATTTAATTATTAGATGAAATGCTTATCTAATTATTTGCGTTAAAGAAAAAATTAAAGCAAATTTCTTTTGTTGACTTACGGGTTAAGACAATATCCTGTTCCTCGCTCAGTGAGCGCGATGTTTGCCGTTTTGTCGTCAAATTTCTATTGCTCTTACTCTTAAAGGTTATATTTGCACCAAAAGCTTCGGGATCGGGACTACTCTTACTAGTCTTATCAATACTGTCCGAAATGACACTGACATCCGTTGAACCCACAGACGATGTCTCACTTTTCTGGGCGTCTTTGGCTTTCTTGGTCTTCAAATAAAAGTATCGGCCGATTATGACGACTGCGATATAACACACATATACGGCCACCAACGCTAAGATTAGGCAAACAAACACAATAAACACAATCAAATTTAATTATTTCATAAAAACTGTTATGAAGGCAATAATTAATTTATGGCATTCACTGTTATTTTGTGATATAATTATGATATAATAAATGACAATCAGATGAGAAGTGTGTAAAAGTTATACCGATTGCATTCTTGAGATAAATCCTAGTCCTCCATAAGATAAACCAGACCATAAAAGTGGCACCCACATAAAATGCAATGTCACGCATTAATGGCCGTTGCATAACTTCAAACTGACCGGTCA